TCTAAATCCCAGCAACTACAACTCCCAAATGACAAAAATCAATCACAATAGTGGGGGGGGGGGAGGGCAACCCCACCACTATTCAAATTTGGGCATATTGGGGATTTGTTCCGAATTTGGTCCAGTGAATGGAAATACATCCCGCTTATCAGATAATTGCATTACAATTAATAACAGGAGCAAAATTTTCTCACGGATACGGGGGTCCCTGGGGGTTTCCGTATCCGTGGTTTGGGGGAATGCAGTTTCGGCCTCCCCAGAACGCCAGGAAGGCATTTCGGGCAGGCCTGCAGTCTTGTAGCCTGGAAAAGGTTAGTTTCATGCATTGGGATAGTTACAGGCAAGAAGAGACACAAAGTATCAAACTAGAGAGTTAAAAGTTCCAATTTCATTAATCTTTATGAAGTAGCAAAAACCAGCTAATCCCTAACCCATCTAAAACACAGACATGTGCCTTTCATCTCAAGAACAGAGAAGCATCCCGAGCTCTGAAGATCACCTGGGAAGGAATCCCACTGGAGCATTGCAGCGCACCCAAATACCTGGGAGTCACTCTGGACCGTGCTCTTACCTACAAGAAGCACTGCCTGAACATCAAGCAAAAAGTGGGTGCTAGAAACAATATCATACGAAAGCTGACTGGCACAACCTGGGGATCACAACCAGATACGGTGAAGACATCTGCCCTTGCGCTGTGCTACTCTGCTGCTGAGTATGCATGCCCAGTGTGGAACACATCTCACCACACTAAAACAGTGGATGTGGCTCTTAATGAGACATGCCGCATTATCACGGGGTGTCTGCGCCCTACACCACTGGAGAAATTACACTGCTTAGCCGTATTGCACCACCTGACATCCGCCGGGAAGTAGCAGCCAATAGTGAAAGGACCAAGGCAGAGACATCTCCAGCTCATCCCCTGTTTGGGTATCAGCCAGCACGCCAACGACTTAAATCTAGACACAGTTTTCTAAGATCTACAGAGACACTCGCTGGAACACCTCAGCAAGCGAGAGTCCAAAAGTGGCAGGCTCAAACCCAGCACCTCAACCAATGGCTGATACCAAATGAGAGACTCCCCCCTGGGCACACAGAGGACTGGGCGACTTGGAAGGCGCTGAACAGACTGCGCTCTGGCACCACGAGATGCAGAGCCAACCTTCAGAAATGGGGCTACAAAGTGGAATCCTCAACATGCGAGTGTGGAGAAGAGCAAACCACTGACCACCTGCTGCAATGCAACCTGAGCCCTGCCACATGCACAATGGAGGACCTTCTTGCAGCAACACCAGAGGCACTCCAAGTGGCCAGATACTGGTCAAAGGACATTTAATCAACTACCAAACTCACAAGTTTTGTATTTTTCTGTTTGTTTGCTTTGTTCTGTTAGAAATGTAATATATAATGGACTGGTTGCTCTGACACGAAAAATAAAATAAATAAGCAAAATAGTGTTATGGTTGGGGGTCACCACAACATGAAGAACTGTATTAAGGGGTCGCGGCATTAGGAAGGTTGAGAAACACTGCAATAAGGTTCTGAAAAACCTCCACTTTGGGAGGATCGCTCTCCCCCGTCAGCATTTTAATCTGCCCCTTCTCCCCCTCATCACCTGGAGGGGAATTCTTTTCTTTTCCTCCTAAGTAAGAAGACAAGAAAATCCATTTAAGGACTAACTGTGACCTTGGCCCTTGCCCATTTATTTATTAGGTCTTCCAAAGCCAAGCTAATTGATTTTCTTTCTCCCTGAAAGCGATCCCCTGGAAGGACAATCTTCCCTCTCGAATAAGGCCTCTCTGTTTTCCCTTCTTCCCCGAGGAGGGGTAAGAAGATTTGCAATTAACCCCTTTCCTTGCCTTTATATACAGAGACGGGGTGCCCAGAAACCCTCAGGCGCAGAGGAGCGCTCTCGAGATCTCTCTTTATTGCTTTCCCGGGTTCTGGCACCACAGAACCTATGGGATCCCACAACTTTCAGCTGCTTGGTAAGTAAGTTCTGATATACCGCACAACCTCTGAGGATGCCTGCCATAGATGTGGGTGAAACGTCAGGAGATAATGCTTCTGGAACATGGCTGTACATCCTGGAAAACACACAGCAACCCAGTGATTCCGGCCATGAAAGCCTTCAACAACAGACTTCACAACCTCCAAGGACGCCTACATTCCTTGTAGGAAACAACTAGGGCCAGGTAACACCTCCCAACAAAGGATTCCTCTAGGCAGGAAGTACCTAAAGCTGCCTGCTTGGCACCGTTGGACCCAGGCCCGTAGCCAGGATTTCGTTTGGGGGGGGGGCTGAATTTTTTTCGGGGGGTGGGTTCGGGGGGGCTGAGTTTCGGGGGGTGCTGAGTCTGAGTGAAAGAGGGTCTAGCCTAGCAAACCTTTTGTATCATTACCCCAATACCCCCATGTATATGGGATATATTGAGTATGGTGATCAGATCATGATATGAATAAACATAACAGTTTAAATAATGCACCAGTAAGGCCTTTTCGCGAACCACCATGAGAATTTCGGGGGGGGGGGCTGAAGCCCCTCAAGCCCCCCCCCCCTCCCCCCCGGCTACATGACTGGTTGGACTCTTCCTCACTTGGTTGCTGAGATTTTTCTGGGCTGTATGGCCATGCTCCAGAAGCATTCTCTCCTGACATTTCTCCTGCATCTATGGCAGGCATCCTCAGAGGTTGTGAGGCCTGTTGGAAACTAGGAAAACTGGGTTTATATATCTCTTAAATGATGTCCAGGGTGGGAGAAAGAACTCTTGTCTTTTGGAGGCAGGGGCGGCTCAACCCATTACGCAAAGTAAGCATTTGCAGTATAGTTGATTTTGCCCAGGGGCGCTCTTGAGGCGCTCTTGGGGGAAAATAAACCTTGACATATGCGAGTTGTAGTTACTGGGATGTATAGTTCACCTACAATCAAAGAGCATTCTGAACTCCACCAATGATGGAATTGAACCAAATATGGCACACAGAACTCCCATGATGAACAGAAAATATATATCAGTGATTGATTTGGGGTGGGGGTGCGCCAAAATACTGTTTACTTACCATTGAAAATTACCTAGGGCCACCTCTGGTTGGAGGCAAGTGTGAATGTTGCCATTGGCCAGCTTAATTAGCACTGAATGGCCTTGCAGCCTCAAAGCCTGGATGCTTCCTGCATGGGGGAATCCTCTGGAGGTGTTAGCTGAACTTGATGGTTTCCTGTCTGGAATTCCAGAATTTCGGGTATGTAAACCTCACTTGCCTACTTCAAATGGTGTCAAATTGCAGTAATTCCATGTTGCGGTGAATTTTTTGGGCAATCTGGCCATGTTCCAGAAGCATTCTCTCCTGGCGTTTCGCCCACATCTATGGCAGGCGTCCCCAGAGGTTGTGAGGTCTGTTGGAAACTAGGCAAGTGGGGTTTATAGATCTGTGCAATAATGTCCCAGGTGGGAGAAATAACTCTTGCCTTTTGGAGGCAAGTCTGAATGTTGCACCAGGCCACCTTGATTAGCATTTAATGCGACAGCTAACACCTCCCAACAAAGAATTCCCCCCAGGCAGGTTTTGAAGCTGCCATTTAGTGCTCATGTCAACTTATGTCTGTTGGAGGCAATTGTGAATGTTGCAATTGGCCAGCTTGATTAGCATTGAATAGCCTTGCAACTACAAAGCCTGACTTCTGCCTGCCTGGGGGAATCCATAGTAGAGCACCTGAGGAACCAACCTGGACACAGCATGGCCATACAGCCTGGAAGACTCACAGTAATCCATTGTCATCACTGTTTTGTTTCCTTTTCTCTACCGAACGGGCTCACATTTTCAAACGAGACTACAATATGCAGAGAGCTTCATCTATGCTGATGATCGTGCCATTACTGCTCAAGCAGGGAGCTTTGAGATGGTTGAACAGAAGCTCTCCGAAGCTCTAGGTGCTCTTACTGCCTATTACAGGGAAAACCAGCTGATCCCTAACCCATCTAAAACACAGACATGTGCCTTTCATCTCAAGAACAGAGAAGCATCCCGAGCTCTGAAGATCACCTGGGAAGGAATCCCACTGGAGCATTGCAGCGCACCCAAATACCTGGGAGTCACTCTGGACCGTGCTCTGACCTACAAGAAGCACTGCCTGAACATCAAGCAAAAGTGGGTGCTAGAAACAATATCATACGAAAGCTGACTGGCACAACCTGGGGATCACAACCAGATACAGTGAAGACATCTGCCCTTGCGCTTTGCTACTCTGCTGCTGAGTATGCATGCCCAGTGTGGAACACATCTCACCACACTAAAACAGTGGATGTGGCTCTTAATGAGACATGCCGCATTATCACGGGGTGTCTGCGCCCTACACCACTGGAGAAATTACACTGCTTAGCCGGTATCGCACCACCTGACATCCTCCGGGAAGTAGCAGCCAATAGTGAAAGGACCAAGGCAGAGACATCTCCAGCTCATCCCCTGTTTGGGTATCAGCCAGCACGTCAACGACTTAAATCTAGACATAGTTTTCTAAGATCCACAGAGACACTCGCTGGAACACCTCAGCAAGCGAGAGTCCAAAAGTGGCAGGCTCAAACCCAGCACCTCAACCAATGGCTGATACCAAATGAGAGACTTCCTCCTGGGCACACAGAAGACTGGGCGACTTGGAAGGCTGAACAGACTGCGCTCTGGCACCACGAGATGCAGAGCCAACCTTCAGAAATGGGGCTACAAAGTGGAATCCACGACATGTGAGTGCGGAGAAGAGCAAACCACTGACCAACTGCTGCAATGCAATCTGAGCCCTGCCACATGCACAATGGAGGACCTTCTTGCAGCAACACCAGAGGCACTCCAAGTGGTCAGCTACTGGTCAAAGGACATTTAATCGACTACCAAACTCACAAGTTGTGTATTTTTTGTTTGTTTGCTTTGTTCTGTTAGAAATGTAATATAATGGACTGGTTGCTCTGACACGACAAATAAATAAAAAAGGGGCTAATGTCTTGCAGGTCCATAAGATGCACTGTGGCTCGGAGGGGATGCCCTCACCTTCAAGCTCTTTTTGGATCTCAGGTGAGGAGAGGGTTAGTGGATGGCGAGGGGGGTGTGCATGGGCAAAAGCACCATTTTGGTTCCTTGCCCGGGAACAGGAGCACGATGCTAAAAGGAAAAGTTACGGTGAGGGTCCTGATCCTAGACTCCTCTTGACCTCTAGGTCTGGCCTTCCCAGACTGGGCTTACAAGGCCGAATCCAGCCCGGGCTCCCGGCAAATCCAGCTCTGGCACTTCATCCTGGAGCTGCTGCAGAAGGAGGAGTTCCGGCACGTCATTGCCTGGCAACAAGGCGAATACGGGGAGTTTGTCATCAAAGACCCCGACGAAGTGGCCCGGCTGTGGGGCCGGAGGAAATGCAAGCCCCAGATGAACTACGACAAGCTGAGCAGGGCCCTCAGGTGAGGAGAATGTGGGGAAGGTGGCAGTGGAGATAATGCTCAGCATGTGGCAAAATCAAGGGTTTTTAAAAATAACCTTTTGGAAAGGCATGACTTTGTTAGAAGTCATAACCTTTTGAAAAATGATGCCATAACCTCTTGGTAAAAAGCATAACCTGTTGGTGTCATAACCTTTTGGGAAAATGGGATTTCTGCAAAGCAACTAGGTTTCTCAGTTGTTACACTGATGTGCTCATATATGTCTTTGAATTGTCAGGGACAAAGATATGCCAATGCACAAGTTGCTCCTGACACAACCACCCCCCCCCCCAATCCCAAATGCAACCAAAAACGCTAAACATGAGATTGTGCTTATTGTAATTTTATATTGTTATGTATTCACATGTTTTATGTAATTATGATGTTGTTGTTTATTGTTTGTGTTTTCGGTTTGCATTTTCGGTTTTACTCTGTTGTAATTTGTTGACCTTGAAGGAGCTGGGAGTGGTGACAACCGACAGGGAGCTCTGGCGTGGACTGGTCCATGAAGTCATGAAGAGTCAGAAACAACTGAATGAATGAACAACAAACAATTTGTTGTTTGGGCTTGGCCTCATGTAAGCCGCCCCGAGTCCCCATTGGGGAGATGGTGGTGGGGTATAAATAAAGATTATTATTGTTGTTGTTGTTATTGTTATTATTGTTGTTGTTTTATACTGTTTTAATGTTTTAATTTGTTTTATGATATTATGCAAGATACTCCACTTAGGCAGAAAAAAAACAAAATGCAAAGATACAGAATGGGGGATGATGATGCCTGGCTCGAGAGCAGTACGTGTGAAAAAGATCTTGGAGTCCTCGTGGACAACAAGTTAAACATGAGCCAACAATGTGATGTGGCGGCAAAAAAAGCCAATGGGATTTTGGCCTGCATCAAGAGGAGCATAGTGTCTAGGTCCAGGGAAGTCACGCTCCGCATGCTCTATTCCGCTTTGGTTAGACCACACCTGGAATATTGGGTCCAATTCTGGCACCACAATTCAAGAGAGATATTGACAAGCTGGAATGTGTCCAGAGGAGAGTGACTAAAATGATAAAAGGTCTGGAGAACAAGCCCTATGAGGAGCGGCTTAAGGAGCTGGGCATGTTTAGCCTGAAGAAGAGAAGGATGAGAGGAGATATGATAGCCATGTATAAATATGTGAGAGGAAGCCACAGGGAGGAGGGAGCAAGCTTGTTCTCTGCTTCCCTGGAGTCTAGAACGCAGAACAATGGCTTCAAACTACAAGAGAGGAGATTCCATCTGAACATGAGGAAGAACTTCCTGACTGTGAGAGCCGTTCAGCAGTGGAACTCTCTGCCCCGGAGTGTGGTGGAGGCTCCTTCTTTGGAGGCTTTTAAACAGGGGCTGGATGGCCATCTGTCAGGGGTGATGTGAATGCAATTTTCCTGCTTCTTGGCAGAATGGGGTTGGACTGGATGGCCCTCTTCCAACTCTTTGATTCTGTGATTCTATGATTCGATGTATATTGTTTTGTTGGAAACCGCCTTGAGTCACCGATTGGCTGAGAAAGGCAGTATACAAATACAGTAAATAAATAAGTAAACAAATAAATTATTATTATTATTATTATTATTATTATTATTATTATTATTAACATGTTAATTGCGTGAAACTGCATCCATATCTTTCCTTTTAGAACAGCAGCATTCCAGCTTACCTTGTCTTCCTTTATGCAGGTATTATTATAACAAGCGCATCCTCTACAAGACTAAAGGGAAAAGGTTCACCTACAAGTTCAACTTCAGCAAGCTGATCTTCATCAACTACCCACTGTGGGGCATCCCATCCCCTCCAAGGCCATTGCTGATGTGCCGGCCACACGGAGGAACCACCAATGTGCAGACAGAGGTATGTAATCAGAGGAGAGGGAAGTGGAACATTAGTGGGTGCAACAGGGCAGAGCCCAAGGAAAGCCAAAGTGGTTGAGAGACTACTACCTGAGCTCAGTTCTTGTGGGTTTTTTCGGGCTATATGGCCATGTTCTAGAAGCATTTCTCTTGACGTTTCGCCTGCATCTATGGCAAGCTTCCTCAGAGGTGAGGAAGCCTTCGACAATACATTACTACCTGAGCCTTCGCCGTGCCAGCCTTGCTTTCCAATGCAAGGGAAATTTGGCCATTTAGAGCAGTGGTTCTCAACCTTCCTAATGCAGCGACCACTTAACACAGTTCCTCATGTTGTGGTGACCCCCAACCATAATATTATTTTTGTTGCTACTTCACAACAGTAATTTTGCTACCATTATGAATCGCAATGTAAATATCAGATATGCAGGATGTATTTTCATTCACTGGGCAAATTTGGCACAAATACCCGATACAACCAAATTGGAATACAATCAGAGAGCCTTCTGAATTCAACCAATGATGGAATTGAACCAAACTTGGCACACAGTTCTCCCAAGACCAACAGAAAACACTGGAAGGGTTTGGTGAGCATTGAACTTGAGTTTGGGAGTTGTAGTTCACCTATATCCAGAGAGCAATGTGGGCTCACGCAATGATGGATCTGGACCAAACTTTGCACGGATCCTCAATATGCGCAAATGTGAACACTGGTGAAGTCTGGGGAGAATAGACCTTGACATTTGGGAGTTGTAGTTGTTGGCATTTATAGTTCACTACAATCAAAGAACATTCTGAACTCCACCAGGCAATGGAATTGAACCAAACTTGGACACAGAACTCCCATGACCAACAGAAAAAACTGGAAAGGTTTAGTGAGCATTGACCTTGAGTTTTGGAGTTGTAGTTCTCCTCCATCCAGAGAGCACTGTGTTCTCAAGCAAGGATGGATCTGGACCAAACTTGGCATGGAGCCTCAATATGCCCAAATGTGAACACTGGTGGAGTGTTGGGAAAATAGTGTTGATATTTGTGGGGAGTAGTTTCTAGGAGTCTCCGGTGGCGCAATGGGTTAAACCCTGTGCTGGCAGGACTGAAGACCAACATGTCAAAGGTTCGAATCCAGGGAGATTGCGGATGAGCTCCCCCTGTCAGCTCTAGCTCCCCATGTGGGACATGAGAGATGCCTCCCACATGGATGGTAAAACATCAAAACATCCGGACAACGTCCTTGCAGACGGTCAATTCTCTCACAGCAGAAGTGACTTGCAGTTTTTCAAGTCACTCCTGACATGGAAAAAAGTAGTAGTTTCTGGAATTTATAGTTCATTTATAATCAAAGAGCATTCTGTAAGAGGATTTGAGAGGATAAGTATGTGAGAGGAAGTCAAAGGAAGGAGGTAGCAAGCTTGTTTTCTGCTGCCATGGAGACAAGGATGCAATGGAACACATTGTCTGCAGTCCCTCCCACAACCTCAAACAACATAGAGCTAAGGGAAAACTGCATATCAATATATACATACAATATGGTAATTAGCATTGGAGGCTTGTAGAAGGTTTGGTGCAAAGTTCCAAAAAGTTGTCAAAAGTTCTCAAAAGTTGAAGGAAGTTGATAAAAGTTGTAAAGTCCAAGGGAAGCAAGTTGGAAAGGTGTCCCAGAGTCCATGGAGTTCTTATGAGCCAGCTGCCAGTGTTGGAGATCAAGATCCACTGAGAGAACTACAGATCCCTCTGCTCCAAGGGCCAAGGTGGCCCGCCAACATCTTGGAGATCCTATGGGTTAACTGCGACAGTTTCCCAAGATCAGCAGGCTCCTTGGACGAAAAACAGCTGGGCTCCAGGTTGGCGTTTCAGAGACAAAAAAGGTTATTCCTGGGGCGGAGGGGGCAGCGGAGCAAAAGAGATAGCCATTAGTCTTAGAATTCTCCCAGTAGAAGAATGACACCATTTTTGAAGCGATCCGTTGACCCGCGGATACGGGCCCCTGAGTTGTTTCCGTATCCGCGGTTTAAGGGAACACAGTTTCAGCCTCCCCGGGACACAAAAATCACATCCCAGGAGAGCCGGCAGGCATCTGCAGCCCAGGAGAAGAAAGGTTTATGGAAAGAGAGGTTTGAGGCAATGAAAAGACACTGATATCGAGCTACTTTTAGTGGGGTCCCCTCAAGAGAGGAGAACCCGAGGACCACACCAAAAGGGTCCTGGATACCTTGGTGAGGCCAGCGAAGCCAATCTCAAATGATTAAAGTATTAAAAATAATAAAACCTCACCAAAGTGGAAGAAGGTTTTTTTCAAGCGACCGAGGCGTTTATTTGCGATTCAGCTGATATCGGATGCATTGCAGGAATCATTCCACCACAAGCATACTGCTAGGCATTTTACAAGCATATTTATAGACAAAATACAAAGGAAAACATTTCAAATGTCCTGCCCGCCCTCTGCCTCTGGAGGGCCAATCAGCAGGCTTTCCTTGCTTTTTGAGGATGGACGAATCAGAAGCAAGCCAGGCGGGACAACCGCAGGCAATGGGGAAATGATGGGATTACAGATTGCCAGCCAGAATGGAATGTGAGGCTTTGTCTTGGCCGGCAAGGTGTGACTGCTGTAAACAAAGGTTTTCCTGTTGGAAATGGTTTTGGGGGAAGAAACAACAGGGTTGGATTGCGGACCTCGAAAGGGATCAACGCTATCCTTTGTAATTTCAATCATTTTTCTTTCCAAAGTCTCATAACTTCCTCATCTCGCCAGTCAAGCTCAGAAAACGAGATAAGGGAATCAATGGCTATTTTTCATGCAGATGAGTTGATCAACAAAAGAGTCCTGGGTCACTTTTTGTAAGGGAAAGGTCAAGAGGGAAAAGGGGAAGGCAGGGAAGCGGATGGCATCTCATGCATACAAAGTTCATATAAAAATTCCCTTTCCCACCCCACATCTTTATTATTTTATTGCAATATTGATTTATTAAAAGAACTGGAAATCCCATGCTCCTGGGGAAGGTTCGTGGAAGCGGAGGTGGTTTGCAGTCCAAGTCAGGCAGCAAAGAGTCATTTCTCCCTGCAGAAGTCAGCAGATGGGCGCTGAGTTGATCAATAACAGAATCCATCGCTCAGCCCTTGGGGAACTACAACTCTCACAAAAGGGCAGAAGTCCCAAGAACCAGCCATTTCCCAAAAAGCCTCGTGGGGTCCTTGTTGTTGTCAGTGCCTTGGCAATGTTGATATCGAGCTCTTTTGTGGGGGGGGGGGTCTCCCAGCGGGAGGGATCCCTGAAGACCGCTAAAGGGGTCCTTTGACCTCGGTGAGCAGCCAGCGAAAGCCAATCCAAAGAGCGAAAAATATTAAAAATTATCTCACCAGAGGCTGAAGAGGTTCAGTGACCGAGGCGTTTATTTCTGCGATTCAGCTGAAAAGGATGCGATTGCAGTGATCATTCACATACAAGCATAGTTCTACAGAATTTCCAGACATTTTTATAGCGTACAGACAAAGGAAACATTTTCAAAAATCCCGCCCGCCCTCTGCCGGCCGGCTTCGCTCTGATTGGCTGGCCGCGGAACAGCTGGGAGGAGGCTTGGCGGCGCGCCTCGCCTCCTGTCCAATCAGCGGGCTCTGCCGCCTCCAGGGGGCCAATCAGCGCCTTCCTAGCGCCTCGGAAGATGGACCAATCGGCAGCCAGGAGGCGGGACGAAGCCTGACAAAGGCTGAGGAAATGACAGCCTTTGGGGCATCTCCTCCGCTGGAATGTGTGGCTTTGTCTTTTCACGGCGGGGTGATAGATAGGGGAACAATGAGTTTCCTGGTTCATGATTGGATTTGGGAGGAAGTATGAAAAGGAGCTGTTGAGGGTATTTGGACCTCAGAGCCTTATAAAAAGGGGGATCAACAAATACCAAAAAATGATTCAATCAGTCTTCCTGGGTTTCTGTTGACCCTTCCCTCCCTTACTGTCTGCTCTGAAAGTTAGTTTGGGAAAGGGATCAACCACACGGCCCATGCAAATGTAAATATGAACTGTTTCGGGAGGACAAAGGATTACTGTCACAGTAATCCTCAGGTCACATTCCTTTTGGGGCAAGGGTCAAAGAGGAGAAGCGGGGAGGGGAACCAGGGTACATTTCATATAACATTCCATTACATACATTTCATATATTTTTCACATCTCATGAGGCAATCCCATCCCCATCCCCAGCAAAGGTTTATTTAAAAAGATTTGATTCATTTTTATTATCAGGAGAAATTCATAGTCTTCTTGATGAAGGCGCACGGAGGCTGAGGCTGCTTGTTCTTTAAGGCAAGCCTGGCCCGAAGCTTGTGTCCAAAGTTGCAGCAGGAAGACAGTCCGGGATGTGGAGCAGAAAGTCAATAGGAGAGGGCAAACAAGAGAGTCCAAGGAGGGTTTCCGGGTTGTGATTGATGGGGCGATGTCCTTTGGGAAACTACATTTCCCTGATCAGAGGCCGGGGCCCACGCCTGGCCACCTTCCCGGGACCCCTACGGGTGGCCGCAGTGGGTCCCGGGCTGCTGGATCCGAGCGGGAGCGAATGCTGCCAAGGAGTAACGAAAAGCCTGGCCAGTTTGACAATCAGCTGTTTCTCTGCAAGATAAAATACTTGAAACAAAACTATTTTTTTTCCAGGGTGAAGGAGCCCAAAACGAGAAAAAAGGAGATAGCAGTTAGTCTTAAAATTAGTTGTAGAAAAATATAAAATTGGAATGGCGGCGATCCGCCATTTTGTGTATTTTCGTGGATAAGGGGGTCTGAAATGGCGGTTTCCGCATCCGCGGTCCGGGCGAACGCAGATTCGGGGTCCGGGGAGCGCCCGGAGGCGTCTCCCGCGGGCTCACGGCTCTCCGGAGCCCGGAAAAAGGTTTATTTTAGTGTTGGTTACAGTAGGAGCCAGGAAAGATACAAAAGTATCAAGCGGAGAGAGGAAAAGTTGCAAGTTTCAAGTACCTTTATTAGGGAAATGATACAAAGTAAAGGAAGGGGAGAGCAAAGAGAAACTGCAGGCATTCCTGGCTTTGGGCCGGCTGCTGGGGCACATTCCATCTGTTGGTCCCAAAACTTGGTCCAGGAACTGCGGAACTCTCCGCTGCGGTTCACATCAATGTGAAGGCGGGGCTCCCCGCTGCGCTCAGGCTCAATGTGACCAAGACTTAACCCTTGTTGTGTAGTCTGGTGCCCTTGCCCTTTGCAGAACTATAAGTCGCTATCCCTTAATTATGAGGGGGGAAGGGGTGGTGCCTGACATCAACACAAAGTAACACTGTGGAGAGGAAAAAGTTTACAATTAATTGACACTTTTATTTTAATGTTGCTATTTCCAACTTGCTGTCTACTTCTGAACACCATTGGGTACTGTTTGGAGGATGGGTGCTTCCAGATCCCATCCAATCTTAGGTCTCTTGTCGGCCCCTGGAACCGATAGAAGGGGGATTATGGTTTGGCTGGTGGATGGGGGAGAAACAGATATCCCAATTGCGCCAGCTCCATGCCTTCCCTCTCTTTCCTCTTTTTACAGAATGCTATGCTTGTGCGAAGGGCCCGTACCATGGACCAGCTTGTCTTCCCCAGGAGCAGCCATGATCTGGGAGACCCTCAAGAAAAGAGAGGAGCATCCGATAGCGGCTGTGAGTATGGTTATTTCCCTTCCTGGGAAGGGATTTAGCATGTGGGTGGCAGGAATGGGGAGGGAGAGGCAATGCCATCCTTCAAAGGAAACGTTTGATCTATCACATTAAAAAAAATGATCTGCTGATTAAAAAGTATAAATTGAAAAGGATGACACTGTGACGTATAATTGCCACAAAATCATAGCGAAGACCCAATGTTGAAAACTTATATTTAATTTTAAAGTAAAGGTAAAGGTTTTCCCCTAACATTAAGTCTAGCCGTATCCAACTCTGGGGACAGCTTCTCATCTTCATTTCTAATCCAAAGAGCCGGCGTTGTCCATAGACACCTCCAAGGACATGTGGCCGGCATGACTGCATGGAGCGTCCTTACCTTCCCGCCTATTGATCTTTTCACATTTGCATGTTTTCAAACTGCTAGGTTGACAGAAGCTGGGGCTAACAGTGGGAGCTCACCCCTGCTCCCTGGATTCGAACTGCCGACTTTTCGGTCAGCAAGTTCAGCCACTCGGCAGTTTAACCAAAAAGGGGGGGGGGTATTATCATAGAATAACTAAGAGTTTTATAGCCAAAGTCTTTCGTGGCCAGAATCACTGGGTTGCTGTGAGTTTTCAGGGCTGTATGGCCAAGAACCAGAAGCATTCTCTCCTGACATTTCACCCACATCTATGGAAGGCATCCTCAGAGGTTGTGAGGTCCAGGGGCGGCTCAACCATTACGCAAAGTAAGCATTTGTAGTATAGTTGATTTTGCTCAGGGGCGCTCTTGAGGCGCTCTTGGGGGAAAATAGACCTTGACATATGCGAGTTGTAGTTACTGGGATGTATAGTTCACCTAAAATCAAAGAGCATTCTGAACTCCACCAATGATGGAATTGAACCAAATATGGCACACAGAACTCCCACGACAAACAGAAAATATATATCAGTGATTTGTTTGGGGGGGGGGGCAAAATACTGTTTGCTTACTGTTGAAAATTACCTAGGGCCGCCTCTGGTGAGGTCTGTTGGAAACTAGGCAAGTGGGGTTTCTCCAGGGTGGGAGAAAGAACTCTTGTCTGTTGGCAGCAAGTATGAATGTTGCAATTGGCCACCTTGATTAGCATTGAATAGCCTTGCACCTTCGAAGCCCAGCTGATTCCAGCCTGGGGGAATCCTTTGTTGGGAGGTGTTAGTTGGCCCTGACTGTTTCATGTCAGAAATTCCCTGTTGTATGAGCGTTCCTTTTTATTTACTGTCCTAATTTTAGACTTTTTAAATACTGGTAAAAGTCTAAAAAGTTCTGTGTGCCAAGTTTGGTTCAATTCCATCGTTGGTGGAGTTGAGAATACTCTTTGATTGTAGGTGAATTATAAATCCCAGCAACTTGGGCGTATCAGGTGTTTGTGCCAAATGTGGTCCAGTGAATGAAAATACATCCTGCATATCGGATATTTACATTACGATTCATAACAGTCGCAAAATGAGTGTTATGAAGTAGCCTTCAGCTAGGTGTGCGTCAAGAGGTTCGGTTTGATTTCCTTGCCTTCTTGCGCCCTCTACTGAGAAGTCACAGTCCAGCCTTTCCATCGCACAACATTCAGCTTCTATCTCAGTTCTTGTTATTATTATTAGTATTATTCTGTTTATTTATACCCTGCTTTTGCTCTCCACAAGGAGACTGACAGTAAAAGCATTTCAGTACCATCTAAAAATCTACAAATATATAAACATAAAAATATATCAATTATATTTTTATAAATATATAAACATATTTTATATATTTATAAAAATATAATTATAAATATATAAACAGTAAAACAGAATTAAATTATTTATTTATTTATTTACAGTATTTATATTCCGCCATTCTCGTCCCGCCATGTACATATACATGGCAAACATTCAATGCCATAGACACACAACATATATAAACAGACACTCAGAGGCTATTTAACATTCCAGCTTTTTCATGAGGGTATTCTGGCCACCAGGGGAGCTCTCCCTTCACCAACCTTTTGTGACACTGATGAAGTACTTCTCATTCTTGGCATACTTGCTGGAGATTTTTATGGCCTCGTAAATTAGTCTCCCTACATAAGCGGTACCTAAATTTCCTACTTGACTGATGCAACTGTCTTTAGGGCTGCAAAGGTCGACAGCAAGCTACACAAATTGGTCGGAAGCTCACTCTGACCTGGACTGGCTTCAAACTCATGACCTTTTGGTCAGTAGTGATCTTGATGCAGCTGACTCCGCAGCTGCGCCACAGTCCCGTGTTTTAATAACATGGATATTTTAAAAAATCAGTTGAATCATATTTAAATAAAACCATATTTAAACTAAAAACCTCTGAGCTGCTGAACTTGCTTACCGAAAGGTCGACAGTTTGAATCCTGGAAGCGGGGTGAGCTCCCGCTGTTACCCCCAGCTTCTGCCAACCTAGCAGTTTGAAAACATGCAAATGTGAGTAGATGAATAGGTACTGTGGGAAGGTAACGGTGCTCCATGCAGTCATGCCAGCCACATGACCTTGGAGGTGTCTATGGACAACGCCGGCTTTTTGGCTTAGAAATGGGGATGAGCGCCAACCCCCAGAGTCGGACACAGCCTCAGCTTCTGCCAACCAAGCAGTTTGAAAACATGCAAGTAGATCAATTGGTACCACTCCAGCAGGAAGGTAACGGCGCTCCACACAGTCATGCCAGCCATATGATCTTGGAGGTGTCTATGGACAACACCGTCTCTTCAGCTTAGAAATGGAGATGAGCGCCAACCCCTAGAGTCAGACACGACTGGACTTAATGTCAGGGGAAAACCTTTACTTTTACTTAATCTAAAAACCACAGCAACCCCTGACTTAATATTAAAACTGTCTTCTAGTTATACTTGTAGTTAGTTTCTGTATGTCAAATATAGTTCTGGGTGTAATTAGAAAGGCATTAGAATTATACATACACTTAAAACAGAGGCTGTAAGAACTACACGTTTAGGGAGCCATATCTATCAAAAGATGAATTGTTTTCAAACGTAAGAGAGGGGATTAATGGCAGAAAAAGAAAGAATTATAATGATTTAAAACTGTGTAAACTGCACCCCAGGCCTGGAAACACCTATGACCACCACACAGGAGTCCAGGAATATAAGCAGATAGTTGATGGAAAAAAACATATTAAAAGCATATAAAATCAGGAATAAGAAAGGTGTCAGAGTTTGGCGGTGCACAGCAGAAGGATTGCTAGATCAGCAGTCACTGTGTTGCAAAATAAGGACTCTGCAGGCTTTGAGTTACAAAAGAAACTAAGGACATTCAATAGACATGTCTTACTACAGCGAGCTACAATCAGGAACTAGTCAAAACGAAAGTCTCTTCATATCTGCTTATCTCTTCTCTTGCTGAGACTGGCTACTCCCTTCTGTTCCCAGCAAGAGCAAACCTTATCTTACTTCTCTCAAGGTTACTTAATCACAGCCTCATGGTATGAACAATCTGCACAGCATTTCTAATACACAGTGGAATCCATCTTGGAAATACATAGAAGCACATTTAAACCACATACATAACTAAATTAATCCTGACAAAAGGAAGATATACAATTCAAAAAGGTTTAGCAACAGATGATATCCAAAAAATAATCCAATGTCTCATAAAGTTCCAGAGGTGGCAAAGTCCAGGAACAGCCAGAAATCACAGATACAGCATAAGTTCACAATCATGAAGGTATAACTAGTAACACTTGAAGAGGAGTACATGAATAGGAACACAGAAAACTTCCAGAATATATTGAATCCAAAATCAGCGCTTGACTTGAACCAGGAACAAGAGAACTCAGGCTTAGCTTCTCACTATTATGCAGTGTTGCCTGAACTGACTTTAAGGCAGTGCTTCTCAACTTGTGGGGCCCCTGATGTTTTGGGCTTCAACTCCCAAAAATCCCAAAAGCTGGTAAACTGGTCGGGATTTCTGGGAGTTGTAGGCCAAAATACCTGGGGACCTACAGGTTGAGAACCTTAAGGTAAATAACTTGTTGTTTAATAGAAACCCATGAAATAATTCCTTTCCCCTTGAATTTCTTTCCCAACTTTTCCACGTAATCTCTCTGAATGATGCAATCTATTTTCAGCTCTGATTTGTAAATGAAGACTTTTGTTGATCTCTGTAGCTACAGGTGGGTCCCCATGGGAACCCTCCTTATCACTCAGCTCTTCACTCAATTCCTTATCTGCTGTTGCTACTTCTGACTCCCCTGAATGCCCTTGAGGCCCTGAACTTTCCGAGCTGGTTGTGCCATCATTTCTAAGACTTTAGGGCCCATCATTTTGTGCCAAACAAAAGCTCACAATCCTCTCCAAGTCATCAGTTAAACCAACAGCCTCTGGTGGCTGATCTACAACATGTTGTATATATCACTACAGTCCTACAGTGCTATAATTCTATTTCTTTAAGGCACCATTACAGCATAATTAGAGTGTCATACACAAACAATGCAACACTTCAGTTGATTTCTCAACTTGTGGGTTCCCCTCATGTTTTGGTCTTCAACTCCCAGAAATCCTACAGCTGGTAAACTGGCTGCGATTTCTGGGAGTTGCAAGCTAAAACATCTGGGGACCCACAGATTGATAACCACTGCCTTAAGGTAAACAACCTGTTGTTTAATAGACACCCATGAAATCATTCTTTTCCCCTTGAATTTCTTTACCAACTTTCCCACGTAATCTCTCTGAATGACGTAATCTATTTTCAGCTCTGATTCTTAAATGAAGACTTTTGCTGATCTCTGTAGCTACAGGAAACATGCCCGGCTTAAAGAGCTGGACATGTTTAGCCTGAAGAAGAGAAGGCTGAGGAGATAGGATAGCCATGTATAAATATGTGAGAGGAAGTCACAGGGAGGAGGGAGCAAGCTAGTTTTCTGCTTCCCTGGAGACTAGGACGCAATGGGACAATGGCTTCAAACTACAAGAAAGGAGATTCCATCTGAACATTAGGAAGAACTTCCTGACTATGAGAGCCGTTCAGCAGTGGAACTCTCTGCCCTGGAGTGTGGTGGAGG